AGGTGACAGTAATCAGTCCCTCAGTGTGAAGGTGAGAGTAATCAGTCCCTCAGTGTGAAGGTGAGAGTAATTAGTCCCTTAGTGTGAAGGTAAGAGTAATCATCCCTCCGTGTGAAGAGTGAGAGTAATCATCCCTCAGGTGAAGTGTGAGAGTAAAAAACAGTCCCTCAGTGTGAAGGAGGGTAATCATTCCCTGTTGGTGTGAAGGTGAAGAATCAGTCCCTCAGTGTGAAGGTGAGGGGGTAATCAGTCCCTCAGTGTGAAGGTGAGAGTAATCAGTCCTCAGTGTGAAGGTGAGAGTAATCAGTCCTCCAGTGTGAAGGTGAGAGTAATCAGTCCCTCAGTGTGAAGGTGAGAGTAATCAGTCCCTCCCGTGTGAAGGTGAGAGTAACCATTCCTCAGTGTGAAGGTGAGGGTAATCATTCCCTCAGTGTGAAGGGAGAGTAATCAGTCCCTCGTGTGAAGGTGAAAAGTAATCAGTCCCTCAGTGTGAAGTTGAGGGTAATCAGTCCCTCATGTGAAGGTGAAGTAACAGTCCCTCATGTGGGAAGGTGAGGGTAATTTAGTCCCTCAGTGTGAAAGGGGAGAGTAATCAGTCCCTCAGTGTGAAGGGGAGAGTAATCAGTCCCTCAGTGTGAAGGTGAGAAATCAGTCCCTAAGTGTGAAGGTTTAGAGTAAACCCGTCCCTCAGTGTGAAGGTTTAGAGTAATCAGTCCCTTAGTGTGAAGGTGAGAGTAATCAGTCCCTCCCGTGTGAAGGTGAGAGTAACCAGTCCCTCGTGTGAAGGTGGGGAGTAACCAGTCCCTCATTTGAAGGTGAGAGTAACCAGTCCCTCAGTGTGAAGGTGAGAGTAACCAGTCCCTCAGTGTGAAGGTGACAGTAATCAGTCCCTCAGTGTGAAGTGAGAGTAACCAGTCCCCATTTGAAGGTGAGAGTAATCATTTCCTTCAGTGTGAAGGTGAGATTTTTCCAGTCCCTCAGTGTGAAGGTGAGAGTAAAACCCGTCCCTCAGTGTAAGGGGAGAGTAATCATCCCTTATGTGAAGGTGAGAGTAATCAGTCCCTCAGTGTGAAGGTGAGGGTAAACCCGTCCCTCAGTGTGAAGGTGAGAGGAATCAGTCCCTCAGTGTGAAGGTGGGGAGTAATCAGTCCCTCATGTGAAGTGAGAGTAAATCAGTCCCTCAGTTGAAGGTGAGAGTAATCAGTCCCTCAGTGTGAAGGTGAGAGTAATCAGTTCCTCAGTGTGAATGTGAGAGTAATCAGTCCCTCAGTGTGAAGGTGAGAGTAGCCAGTCCCTCAGTGTGAAGGTGAGAGTAAACAGTCCCTCAGTGTGAAGGCGAGAGGTAATCAGTCCCCTCAGTGTGAAAGGTGAGAGTAACAGTCCCTCAGTGTGAAGGCGAGAGTAATCAGTCCCTCAGTGTGAAGGTGAGATTAATCAGTCCCACAGTCTGAAGGTGAGAGTAATCAGTCCCTCAGTGTGAAGGCGAGAGTAATCAGTCCCTCAGTGTGAAGGTGAGAGTAATCAGTCCCTCAGTGTGAAGGCGAGAGTAATCAGTCCCTCAGTGTGAAGGTGAAGTAACCAGTTTCCCTCAGTGTGAAGGTGAGAGTAATCAGTCCTCAGTGTGAAGGTGAGAGTAATCAGTCCCTCAGTGTGAAGGTGAGATAATCAGTTCCCCCAGTGTGAAGGGGGAGAGTAATCAGTCCCTCAGTGGAAGGTGAGAGTAATCAGTCCCTCAGTGTGGGAAAGGGGAGAGTAATCAGTCCCTCAGTGTGAAGGTGAGAGTAATCAGTCCCTCAGTGTGAAGGTGAGAGTAATCAGTCCCTCAGTGTGAAGGTGAGAGTAATCAGTCCCTCAGTGTGAAGGGGAGAGTAATCATCCCTCAGTGTGAATGTGAGAGTAATCAGTTTCCCCCCCGTGTGAAGGTGAGAGGATCGTCCCTCAGTGTGAAGGTGAGAGTAATCAGTCCATCAGTGTGAAGGTGAGAGTAACCAGTCCCTCAGTGTGAAGGTGAGAGTAATCAGTCCCTCAGTGTGAAGGTGAGAGTAATCAGTCCCTCAGTGTGAAGGTGAGAGTAATCAGTCCCTCAGTGTGAAGGTGAGAGTTTAACCAGTCCCTCAGTGTGAAGGTGAGAGTAACCAGTCCCTCAGTGTGAAGGTGAGAGTAATCAGTCCCTCAGTGTGAAGGTGAGAGTAATCAGTCCATCATTTTGAAGGTGAGATAACCAGTCCCTCAGTGTGAAGGTGAGAGTAATCCGTCCCCCCCAGGGGGAAGGTGAGAGTAATCAGTCCCTCAGTGTGAAGGTGAGAGTAATCATCCATCAGTGTGAAGGTAGAGTAACCAGTTTCCCCCAGTGTGAAGGTGAGAGTAATCAGTCCCTCAGTGTGAAGGTGAGAGTAATCAGTTCCTCATGTGAAGGTGAGAGTAATCAGTCCCCCAGTTTTGAAGGTGAAGTAATCAGTCCCCAGGTGAAGGTGAGAGTAATTAGTCCCATGTGAAGGGGAAGTAATCAGTCCCTCAGTGTGAAGGTGAGAGTAATCAGTCCCTCAGTGAAGGGGAAGTAAATTAGTCCCTCAGGTTTAAGGTGAGAGTAATCAGTCCCCATGTGAAGGTGAGAGTAATCATCCCTCAGTGTGAAGGTGAGGTAACCAGTCCCTCAGTGTGAAGGTGGAAGTAATCAGTCCCCCAGTGTGAAGGTGAGAGTAAAACAGTCCCTCAGTTGTGAAGGTGAGAGTAATCATCCCATGTGAGGTGAGAGGTAATCAGTCCCTCAGTGGGAAGGTGAGAGTAAACAGTCCCCCAGTGTGAAGGTGAGAGTAATTCACCCTCAGTGGGGAAGGGGGGAGAGTAATCAGTCCCTCAGTGTGAAGGTGAGAGTAATCAGTCCCTCAGTGTGAAGGTGAGAGTAATCAGTTCCCCTTTGTGTGAAGGTGAGAGTAAATCATCCCTCAGTGTGAAGGTGAGAGTAATCAGTCCCTCAGTGTGAAGGTGAGAGTAATCAGTCCCTCAGTGTGAAGGTGAGAGTAATCAGTCCCTCAGTGTGAAGGTGAGAGTAATCAGTCCCTCAGTGTGAAGGTGAGAGTAATCAGTCCCTCAGTGTGAAGGTGAGAGTAATCAGTCCCTCAGTGTGAAGGTGAGAGTAATCAGTCCCTCAGTGTGAAGGCGAGAGTAATCAGTCCCTCAGTGTGAAGGTGAGAGTAATCAGTCCCTCAGTGTGAAGGTGAGAGTAATCAGTCCCTCAGTGTGAAGGTGAGAGTAATCAGTCCCTCAGTGTGAAGGTGAGGATAATCAGTCCCTCAGTGTGAAGGTGAGAGTAATCAGTCCCTCAGTGTGAAGGTGAGAGTAATCAGTCCCTCAGTGTGAAGGTGAGAGTAATCAGTCCCTCAGTGTGAAGGTGAGAGTAATCAGTCCCTCAGTGTGATGGTGAGAGTAATCAGTCTTAGACTCAGGGTCTGAGTAACCTCATCTTCCACTATTTACTATATACATTTCTAATATATTCAAGCACTGTACTGATAAAGCTCAGACATCTACAACACAATTGTCCTCAAAGATTTATTAAGTTATACCAAGAATTAAGTGAAGCTCCTTGACTTCACATTACGAAATAGACAAAACAAATGCAATAGTAATTATGGACAAGGTAGATTATACTGGAGAAGTGAACATATTAGAAGACGGGGGAATGTACGTGCCTCTTAAATCCTTGTCTGTCTTGTCACTCGTAAGAGAGACAGCAAGAGACAGAATTTCAAAAAGATGAGAGAGGACTGGATCAGTGATAACTCTAGAAAAATTCACATGAGCCAAAAATGATTGAAATTATAAATTTCTTTTTATTGATTTTATTATATCTGTTTAGAAATCCTTTAAGAGAATGATTTGAAGGTTATAATTTATAAATTAAAAGGACACAAGTGCAACTAATGTGACATTTTATTGTGGCAATGTTTCGCTCTCCAGGAGCTTTATCAAGCCACAATAAAATGTCACATTAGTTACACTTGTGTCCTTTTACTTTACATATTGTCGGTAATTCTACCAACTTTATTACAAGGTTATAATTGACACTAGAGGTGTAGATGCAGTTTCTACGACCATGTCATTATTCATCGTCAATTATTAGTCAAAAATTATCTTCATTCTTCTCACAAGAACTCTCATCATATAATAAACTACCACACACATTCCAGTAGGCTTCCGGCAGTGCTCTTCCATTCTTACTTGGAACATGGCTGCCCTAACCAGAGTAACATGTACAGTTGATGTAATCATCAACTGCACACGTTACTCTGATGATGTAATCAATCCATCAACCTTGCTTGACTTAAATAACAAAAAGGCACAATACCGTGACTGGAACAATACACAAATAACCCGCACATAAAAGAGAGAAGCTTACGACGACGTTTCGGTCCGACTTGGACCATTGACAAAGTCACACTAACAGAGGTGGAGCAGGACGGCTATATATAGGCAGGAAGAGGTGGTAGTAGTAGTAGTTGTAGTAGTAGTAGTAGTAGTAGTAGTAGTAGTAGTAGTAGTAGTAGTAGTAGTAGTAGTACAAGAATTGTATATAATTGTATATAATACTACTACTACTACTACTACTACTACTACTACTACTACTACTACTACTACTATACTACTACTACTACTACTACTACCACCTCTTCCTGCCTATATATAGCCGTCCTGCTCCACCTCTGTTAGTGTGACTTTGTCAATGGTCCAAGTCGGACCGAAACGTCGTCGTAAGCTTCTCTCTTTTATGTGCGGGTTATTTGTGTATTGCTTGACTTACTGATTACATTATCTATATTTTACTACTACACCTGCTGCCTTTGTATCGACTGAAGAAACCTACTGCGCAGGCAAAACGTTTTAATAATAAAGATACCTAACTGTTGCACATGTGTCTTAATCATCAGCTTGTTGGTATTTTATACCGTTTTCAACATAACATGTGCAGCGTATGAAGGAAGGTTAGGGTGGACACTGACCTGGGTTCCTTGTAGTGCCTGGCGTGAAGTGTGTGAAGAAGATGCCAGGTAACGCCTCCATCACACGAGTAGTGGACGTACACGCTCTCCTTGTCCTCGTCTGGCCCTGGACACTTACCAACCTGAGTCACGTGTATCAAACATTGCGTCAAATTACGTCTGAACAAGTTTTATTGTCCCACAACACGTCTGAGCATGTTATATTGTGCTATAACATGTACGAGCATGTTATATTGTGCTGCAACATGTCTGAGTATGTCATATTGTACCACAACAAGTCTGAGGATGTTATATTGTATCACAATACGGCTGAGCATGTTATATTGTGGTATAACACGTCCGAGCATGTTATATTGTCCCACAACAAGTCTGAGCATGTTATATTCTACTACAACACGTCCGAGCATGATATGTTGTCCCACAACACGTCAGAGCATGTTATATTGTACCACAATACGTCCAAGCATGTTATATTGTACCCCAACATGTCGGAGTATGTTATATTGCACACGTCTGAGCATATATTGTCCGAGCGTCATTACACTTACATTAAGGTAAGTGACAAGACTGTTCATCTATCAGCCAACTGAACGCCAGAGAGCTCGAGGATACTACTCACATCACTGTGTGTCCCAGCCACATAGTTGAACTGAAGGTAGTGGGCATGGGTGGTGTTGACGTCAACGGTGGTGACGGCGCGGGTGCCACGCCCGCTGAAGACAGCAGCGGTGCCGGTACCCACCACGCCACACCTGAAGCTGTTCGACCCCCCAGTCATCTGTAGGCGCGAGGAGGTTCATACAACATGGTCTCTCTCCACTGTGTTAACCCATGGTTTCCACATATGGTCTCTATGAATGGTTTCCAGTCATGGACAAACTACTATGGCCTCTCGTCATGGTCTCAAGTCATGGACTATCTTCCATGATATATACATCATGGTATATATATAGTGTATATAATGTATGTACATCACGGGCAGAGCCGTGACGTATATACTATGTATATACAATATATATATATATATATATATATATTATATATATATATATATATATATATATATATATATATATATATATATATATATATATATGTAGTGTACATACACTGAGAGACATACTTCCCAGGATATACACTGAGAGACATACTTCACAGGATATACAGTGAGAGACATACTTCACAGGATATACACTGAGAGACATACTTCCCAGGATATACACTGAGAGACATACTTCACAGGATATACACTGAGAGACATACTTCCCAGGATATACACTGAGAGACATACTTCACAGGATATACACTGAGAGACATACTTCCCAGGATATACACTGAGAGACATACTTCCCAGGATATACACTGAGAGACATACTTCCCAGGATATACACTGAGAGACATACTTCCCAGGATATACACTGAGAGACATACTTCACAGGATATACACTGAGAGACATACTTCACAGGACATACACTGTCAATGACAGATTTACAGTAAGATGAAAGAAGATAACGTCACTGTGTAATACAATTGTTGAGTCGGATATTATCAGTTATAATACACAAGTATGTCAACATAACTACGCTCCAGTATGCTAACATGATAGATACACGCCAGCATGCTAACATGATAGCTACACGCCAGTATACTAATATGATATTTATGGGCGAGTATGATATATAGAGAGGCAGATATGTTGGATATACCTTAAGTATGTTGGCAGTGTTGGTGACGGTGGTGGAAAATGGTTCCGAGACATAGACGGGATTATCTCTGTCTGGCGCCTCACAAGACGTCCCGCTGTAACCGTACTCACACCTGATGGCGAAGAGACAGGTGATCATGACAACAATAACACCAGAGTGCATGTCAACATGACAACAGTAACACCAGAGTGTTACTGTAGCACCAAAGTGTATATCAACATGACAACAGTAACACCAGAGTGTATGTCAACATAGCAATAATAACACCAGAGTGTCATCATGACAAGAGTAAGACTAGAGTGTAAGTGTTGCAGGATCAATATAAACACTAGACAACATACTTGCAGTCACCGCTGGCTTGACAGAGTCCCCGGCCGCTGCAGCCTTGAGCACACCTGCCCACGTAGACGTTATCCAGCGCCCACCAGCGAGGTCTCACACCTTCGTTGTCCTCCAGTTGACGCACCCGCAGGCGGCTGTTGGGCGTGAGCGAAACGTAGGGCAGCGGCAGCGTCACCAACCCCCATCTGAGTCACAGAGGCAGATATCAGATACCCCTGAACCTGAGTTGTTGTTGCAGTAGTTGTTGTTGGTGTTGGTGGTGGTGGTGCACTTTCCTGCATCCTTTCTAAATCAAAATTTATTAAATCTGAATCCATTATTTCGAGTTCTTTCACGAAGGGATATCCTCAGAATCTTATTTATATCTCTCTTAATTATTCCATCTTCCACTTATACACTTTAATCATGTCTTCCCTCATTGTACGTCTTACAAGAAAATGTAGGTTAAGGAATTCCTCTCTTCGTACAACAGTAACACCAGAGTGTATGTCAACATGACAACAGTAACACCAGAGTGTATGTCAACATGGCAACAGGAACACCAGAGTGTATGTCAACATGACAACAGTTACACCAGAGTGTATGTCAACATGACAACAGTAACACCAGGGTGTATGTCAAAATGACAACAGTAACACCAGAGTGCATGTCAACATGAAAACAGTAACACCAGAGTATATGTCAACATGACAACAGTAACACCAGAGTGTATGTCAACATGACAACAGTAACACCAGAGAGTATGTCAACATGACAACAGTAACACCAGAGTGTATGTCAACATGACAACAGTAACACCAGAGTGTATGTCAACATGACAAAAGTTACACCAGAGTGCATGTCAACATGACAACAGTAACACCAGAGTATATGCCAACATGACAACAGTAATACCAGAGTGTATGTCAACATGATAATAGTAACACCAGTGTATGTCAAAATGACAACAGTAACACCAGAGTGTAAGTCAACATGACAACAGTAACACCAGAGTGTATGTCAACATGACAATAATAACACCAGAGTGTATGTCAACATGGCAACAGGAACACCAGAGTGTATGTCAACATGACAACAGTTACACCAGAGTGTATGTCAACATGACAACAGTAACACCAGGGTGTATGTCAAAATGACAACAGTAACACCAGAGTGCATGTCAACATGAAAACAGTAACACCAGTGCATGTCAACATGACAACAGTAACACCAGAGTGTATGTCAACATGACAACAGTAACACCAGAGAGTATGTCAACATGACAACAGTAACACCAGAGTGTATGTCAACATGACAACAGTAACACCAGAGTGTATGTCAACATGACAAAAGTTACACCAGAGTGCATGTCAACATGACAACAGTAACACCAGAGTATATGCCAACATGACAACAGTAATACCAGAGTGTATGTCAACATGATAATAGTAACACCAGTGTATGTCAAAATGACAACAGTAACACCAGAGTGTAAGTCAACATGACAACAGTAACACCAGAGTGTATGTCAACATGACAATAATAACACCAGAGTGTATGTCAACATGACAACAGTAACACCAGAGTGTATGTCAACATGACAACAGTAACAAAAGAGTGTATGTCGACATGACAACAGTAACACCAGAGTATATGTCAACATGACAACAGTAACACCAGAGTGTATGTCAACATGACAACGGTAACACCAGAGTGTATGTCAACATGACAACAATAACACCAGAGTGTATGTCAACATGACAACAGTAACACCAGAGTGCATGTCAACATGATAACAGTAACACCAGAGTGCATGTCAACATGACAACAGTAACACCAGAGTGTATGTCAACATGACAACAGTAACACCAGAGTGCATGTCAACATGACAACGGTAACACCAGAGTGTATGTCAACATGACAACAGTAGCACCAGTGTATGTCAACATGACAACGGTAACACCAGAGTGTATGTCAACATGGCAACAGTAACACCAGAGTGTATGTCAACATGACAACAGTAACACCAGAGTGTATGTCAACATGACAACAGTTACACCAGAGTGTATGTCAACATGACAACAGTAACACCAGAGTGTATGTCAACATGACAACAGTAACACCACAGTGCATGTCAACATGAAAACAGTAACACCAGTGCATGTCAACATGACAACAGTAACACCAGAGTGTATGTCAACATGACAACAGTAACACAAGAGTGTATGTCAACATGACAACAGTAACACCAGAGTGTATGTCAACATGACAACAGTAACACCAGAGTGTATGTCAACATGACAAAAGTTACACCAGAGTGCATGTCAACATGACAACAGTAACACCAGAGTTGTATGTCAACATGACAACAGTAACACCAGTGTATATGCCAACATGACAACAGTAATACCAGAGTGTATGTCAACATGATAATAGTAACACCAGTGTATGTCAAAATGACAACAGTAACACCAGAGTGTATGTAAACATGACAACAGTAACACCAGAGTGCATGTCAACATGACAACGGTAACACCAGAGTGTATGTCAACATGACAACAGTAACACCAGAGTGTATGTCAACATGACAACGGTAACACCAGAGTGTATGTCAACATGACAACAGTAACACCAGAGTGTATGTCAACATGACAACAGTAACACCAGAATGTATGTCAACATAACAACAGTAACACCAGAGCGTATGTCAACATGACAACAGTAACACCAGAGTGCATGTCAACATGACAACGGTAACACCAGAGTGTATGTCAACATGACAACAGTAACACCAGAGTGTATGTCAACATGACAATAGTAACACCAGAGTGTATGTCAACATGACAACAGTAACACCAGAGTGTATGTCAACATGACAACAGTAACACCAGAATGTATGTCAACATAACAACAGTAACACCAGAGCGTATGTCAACATGACAACAGTAACACCAGAGTGCATGTCAACATGACAACGGTAACACCAGAGTGTATGTCAACATGACAACAGTAACACCAGAGTGTATGTAAACATGACAACAGTAACACCAGAGTGCATGTCAACATGACAACGGTAACACCAGAGTGTATGTCAACATGACAACAGTAACACCAGAGTGTATGTCAACATGACAACGGTAACACCAGAGTGTATGTCAACATGACAACAGTAACACCAGAGTGTATGTCAACATGACAACAGTAACACCAGAATGTATGTCAACATAACAACAGTAACACCAGAGCGTATGTCAACATGACAACAGTAACACCAGAGTGCATGTCAACATGACAACGGTAACACCAGAGTGTATGTCAACATGACAACAGTAACACCAGAGTGTATGTCAACATGACAACAGTAACACCAGAGTGTATGTCAACATGACAATAGTAACACCAGAGTGTATGTCAACATGACAACAGTAACACCAGAGTGTATGTCAACATGACAACAGTAACAAAAGAGTGTATGTCGACATGACAACAGTAAAACCAGAGTTGTATGTAAACATGACAACAGTAACACCAGAGTATATGTCAACATGACAACAGTAACACCAGAGTGTATGTCAACATGACAACGGTAACACCAGAGTGTATGTCAACATGACAACAATAACGCCAGAGTGTATGTCAACATGACACCAGTAACACAAGAGTGCATGTCAACATGACAACAGTAACACCAGAGTGCATGTCAACATGACAACAGTAACACCAGAGTGTATGTCAACATGACAACAGTAACACCAGAGTGCATGTCAACATGACAACGGTAACACCAGAGTGTATGTCAACATAACAACAGTAACACCAGTGTATGTCAACATGACAACGGTAACACCAGAGTGTATGTCAACATGACAACAGTAACACCAGAGTGTATGTCAACATGACAACAGTAACACCAGAGTGCATGTCAACATGACAACGGTTACACCAGAGTGTATGTCAACATAACAACAGTAACACCAGTGTATGTCAACATGACAACGGTAACACCAGAGTGTATGTCAACATGACAACAGTAACACCAGAGTGTATGTCAACATGACAACAGTAACACCAGAGTGTATGTCAACATAACAACAGTAACACCAGTGTATGTCAACATGACAACGGTAACACCAGAGTGCATGTCAACATGACAACGGTAACACCAGAGTGTATGTCAACATAACAACAGTAACACCAGTGTATGTCAACATGACAACGGTAACACCAGAGTGTATGTCAACATGACAACAGTAACACCAGAGTGTATGTCAACATGACAACAGTAACACCAGAACGTATGTCAACATGACAACAGTAACACCAGAGTGCATGTCAACATGACAACGGTAACACCAGAGTGTATGTCAACATGACAACAGTAACAGCAGTGTATGTCAACATGACAACGGTAATACCAGAGTGTATGTCAACATGACAACAGTAACACCAGAGTGTATGTCAACATGACAACAGTAACACCAGAGTGCATGTCAACATGACAACAGTAACACCAGAGTGTATGTCAACATGACAACAGTAACACCAGAGTGTATGTCAACATAACAACAGTAACACCAGAGCGTATGTCAACATGACAATAGTTACACCAGAGTGTATTTCAACATGAAACAGTAAACACAGAGTGTATGTCAACATGACAACAGTAACACCAGAGTGCATGTCAACATGACAACAGTAACACCAGAGTGCATGTCAACATGACAACAGTAACACCAGAGTGTATGTCAACATGACAACAGTAACACCAGAGTGATGTCAATATGACAACAGTAACACCCAGAGTGTATGTCAACATGAAAACAGTAACACAAGAGTGTATTTCAACATGACAACAGTAACACCAGAGTGTATGTCAAGATGAAAACAGTAACACCAGAGTGCATGTCAACATGACAACAGTAACACCAGAACGTATGTCAACATGACAACAGTAACACCAGAGTGCATGTCAATATGACAACAGTAACACCAGAGTGTATGTCAAGATGAAAACAGTAACACCAGAGTGTATGCCAACATGACAACAGTAACGCCAGAGTGTATGTCAACATGACAACAGTAACACCAGTGTGCATGTCAACATGACAACAGTAACACAAGAGTGTATTTCAACATGACAACAGTAACACCAGAGTGTATGTCAACATGACAACAGTAACACCAGAGTGTATGCCAACATGACAAC